TAATTTGTGCTCTGTTATAAACTACAAAGATGCATTATCTACTAATATTTTTAAATTTAGATTTTTTAAAAAGCAACTGGTTGCAGTTGGTTCTGTTCACGTTGATAAAAACTTTTTTATTTTATTTTTAGCTATCTTAACTGACAGTCCGGACACACCAGCAACCTTGTATGCTAATTATGATCTATGTGAAATGATCTAGCAAAATTCCATTTTGATTCATAAATGACTATATAAATAGTAATAAGTAACGATAATGGCTCCCTAGATATTATACAGGGTTGGTTATAACTATTGGGTCATAGAGTAGGGTTAGGTGATTTGGACCAAAATATACTTCCAATTGACCAAATTTGCGTTAATAAAATGTTGATGTGAAAAAAGATACAGTGTGTTGAAATTGAAATCTTGTTTCGTTTTCTAGTTGTTCCGTTTTTGTTTTATTGTTGGTAAAAGCGGCACAAAGGCATACCTTTGGACAATGTATATTATTTTATTTATTATTTAATATATTTTTTACGAAAAATATGAAATGAAGCAAAGCAGTTAATAAGAAGAACAAAAAATGAACACTGGGAACAGTTTACAAAAAGGATGGAAACTTCCTTTTACGACTTCTGTGGTACATAAAAACAAATATGGAGATTCATAAGAAATTAACGGAAAGAAATGGCAGAATTGAAGGAATACAGTAACATACCAGCAAACTAATAGGAAAGATACCTAAGAAACTGTTTAAAGAAAAGGAAAATAATAATCAACACAATAACGTACCTGAACTTATATTGGAATTATTCTTGACAAGAAGTTTAGCTGGAAACCATTTATACAAAGTATAGAATCAAAATGTTTAAAAGGCATAATTTTTTTAAAATTCATAAGAACATGGTGGGGAGCAGATCCACAATCGTGTTTAACTTTTTACAAAGCCTTTATTAGGTCGATCTTGGATTACGGATGTACGTTATATGGATCAGCCAGTCCTTGCATTCTAAAACGACTGGAAATAATTCAAAATATTTCCCTAAGACTCTGTTTGGATGCAATGTGTTCAACGCCTGTGGAACTACTTTGGATTGAAGCTCTAGAACCACCATTATTTTTACGGAGGGAATGGCTAGCAGAAAAATTTCTGTCTTTTTGTAAAAACCGTACTCTGTTAGATAAAAGAGCCTTATTAAATAATCACGATTTAACTAACACGTACTGGTCAAAAAACCTTCTCCTCCATTATGTATGGCTTTTAGAAATACAAGTAGTTATAATAGTGATTTAAAAAGAACTATTTCAGTCGAAAAATCTGAATTTTTTGACATCTTGGAACCACTAGAAATTAATATTCCTGTATACAATGAAAATTTGTTGATAAGTAAAAATATATTAAGCGCCTGCATATCAAATCTATCAGATTTTCTGGAAATATATACCGATGCATCAAAACAAAATAATGGTACGGGATGTGCATTCTATAAAATAAAATCTAAACAACTAACACGACGTGAGAAGATACAGGTCTATAAAACAATCATACGACCCGTTTTGATATATGGAAGCGAAACGTGGACAATAACAAAGGCAAACGAAGAGAGACTATGTGTTTGGAAAAGAAAAATCCTAAGGAAGATCTTTGGTCCTGTGCTGGATGAAGCATCAGGACAATATAGGATAAGAACTAACAAAAAGCTTGAAGAACTTTACCCAGACGCCAACATCATAAAAGAAATATAGTCCAGAAGACTCCAATGGGCAGGACATCTCAGAAGACATTCTGACGAACGAACAGTAAGACTGGTGTGGGAGGAAGTCCCAACTGGAAGGAGACCACGCGGACGCCCTCGTCTCCGGTGGCGAGATAATGTAGCAGGAGACCTAAGCACTAAGGGCGTGGAGAATTGGATGGAGGTTGCTCAAGACAGAAAACAGTGAAGGCATGTTGTCGAGTCGGCTAAAACCCACGAAGGGTTGTAACGCCACGGAGTAAGTAGGTAAGTAAGTAAGTAAGATGTGCATTGTATATACCATCAACAAACGTTCAAGAAAAATTCAAACTTCATTATTAAAGCCTGCGATTATGTCGAAAAAAAAACAATGAAAAAAAAATACATTTTTTGAGTGACTCGCATTATCTGTTCTTAAATACATCGCTAAGCCAATTAAAGTGATGGCTACTGATACAAATTCTTTTATTAGAGAAATAAAAGTAAGAATTCGTAAATTAAAAAAAGTTAATACGAATTAAAATTCACTTGGGTAAAAGCTCATATAGGACTTCGTGGCAATGCAGTTGCAGACTCCTTAGCCAAAAAAAGCGTTACAACAGAAGAGCATATCAACAACAATTTAGGTGCTCAAGAATATTGAATGATATCTAAGAGTAATTTTAAGGCAAAATGGGAATTGCATTGGAAAAACTATTGCTCTAATAACCTCACACGATACACACTACTACATCCAAGTATTCCGACAGATTTGTGGCTAGATTATGAGTTTACAAGAAATGATATTGTGACCATATATAGGCTGAAATTTATAAAACTTGCAATGTGGTTTGCGACTTAGATCTCATTTTTTATGCTTGTAGTAAATTTGAAATACAAAGACAGGAACTTATTTATATATATTGCAAAAATTATACCACCCTTTCAATCTACTCTATTTGATATCATTAAATATATACAAGGTATATAAAATTAATCTTAAGTTTATTAAAATGTGTAATTTAAAACTTTAGTATAGGTGTTAGGCTCGTTACCTCTGTTAAATCGCCAAGTATTTTACCTTTTTACCTATACTTTCCCGTGGTCTACACTTTCTGTCTGTGAGTCACCTTGAATGACCCCTAGGTTCGAAAAGTAATCCTAGTTCCTCTCCCACTGTAATTCTTCTTAATTTCCAGAATTGTAGTGTATTTAGTTTAGTTAGATTAGGTTATTAAGTGAACGTTATTACACATTTGCTGTTGGCTGGATGGGCACTTAGCCCGATTGCCATTAAAAAAATAATAATAACTTAGCTGAATTAAGACATAAAATCAGTTTTCACGAAGTAGAGATAGCTATAAATTCACTCAAAAATAGAAAGTCACATGGACCAGACGGAATCACCAACGAACTTCTAAAACACGAAGGAGAAAGTATAACCCTAGGTATGCAAAAAATTATACAAAAACTAATATTGCACTGCAAGATACCATACGCATAGAGAAACAACATAATTATACCAATGTTTAAGAAAGGAGATAAAGAAGACACCAACAATTATAGAGGTACAAATCTACTGAACACCGCATTTAAGTTTACCACAAAAGTCCTAACCAACAAAATCAATAAACTAACAACTTTATTAGATGAACAACAAGGATCCAGATCCAGAAGATCCTGCGTAGACACCGTATTTGTACTAAGAAAAAACACAGAAAAGATCATCGAGTACAATAAACCAGCATATATATGTTTTATGGACCTGACAAAGGCTTTCGATCGCATCCAAGTCGAAGACGGCTACACCTACTGTATAAAAGAAACATACCAGTCAATATTATACAAACCATCGAAAACATCTACTTCTATAATCGAATACAGGCAAAGATAAATGGAAAACTAACACAGTGTATACCACTACAAAGCGCAGTCAGACATTAATCGCCGAGACAGAAGACGAGCTCCAAAGATTAACACACATCTTCGATACAACAGCCAAGAAATACAATATGATAATATCAACATAAAAAAAACAAATGGTTTAGATATCTGGGTAGATATAACTACTTACGTAAATGTTGAAGAAGAAATACGATAACAAATCTTAAAAGGAAATAAAGCGGCGGGATCACTTAATGACACAATCTGGAAAAACAAATACCTAAGACAAGACAGAAAAACAAGAATCTGTAAAGCAGCAATTAGACCTATATTAACATACATGACGGAGACAAAACCTGACACATCTAAAACGAGACGACTACTAGAAACAACAGAGATGAAAATACTCCGACGAATATCAGGGAAAAGTCTGTTGGATAGGGAAATAGGCGAACATTATAAGAAGAGCATGCGATACAAAAGACATAATTGAATGAAAAAAAAAAGATAACAGGAGTAGAAAGAACACATTAGTAGAATGGCAGAGGATAGAATAGTACGAGTGGCACGAGATAAGTCACCAAATGGACAAAGTATTGGCAGACCAAGAAAAAGATGGTGCGACAATTTAAACAATTTATCAGGCTAATATTGAAAAAGAAACAGACTTTATAGCCTACATACAAGAAGAAAGAAGAAGATGAAGAATATATTTTTTTAAACGGAATGTCACTTGACATTCATTAATAAATTAGCTACGTCTTGACCATTTGTTGCAGATTGGACTTGATAAAATAATGAGTTAGGTAGGTTATGACTAGATCGCTTATCATTGAAGTACTTCTAAAATTATTTTGGATAATTTCTTAGGCTAGTATCTATACCTTTATTATAGTTACTGAAGCAAATTTCAGATAGTTGTTTACATTCAGCTCATAGGTGGGAACATCTAATATAGTCATCATCAGAACGGTTATTAACATAAATATAGGGAGCATATTCCGATCTTACTGTATGGTGTGGAGGCCTGGACGCTGACGGAGACGCTCAAGAGAAAACTAGAAGCATTCGAAATGTAGGAAAGGAGAAAGAAATCGTGAATACAATTAAACAAAGAAAGCTTGAATATCTAGGCCACATATTGAGACACGATAAGTACCGTTTGCTGCAATTGATTGTCCAGGGAAAAATAGACAGTAAGTGAGGGCCAGGCAGGAGAAGACACTCGTGGCTCCAAAATCTGCGGAAGTGGTTCGGGCTCACATCGGTCCAACTATTCAGAAGCGCCGCAAACAAGATCAGAATTGCCATGTTAATAGCCAACGTTCGCAACGGACAGGGCATTTGAAGAAGAAGAAAAAGTGAGCATATTTAGAAGAGTAAATCTAAAGGAGTTAATCTAAAAATAAAACACAAACTTCATTTTATATTATCATTTATTTCATTCATATTCTTAACCAAATCCACATGTGTAAACTCTGTAACATCAGTATCTTTCAAACTGGAATTACTAATAGTACTGTTATTAAAACCCTCTGATCCCTTTCTAGAAAATATTTTACTTAAACTCAACGGCAATATAAAATACTTTTTTCTATCCGGCAATCCACCGTGCTCACTAGCTATGGACCTATTTCTGTCGTAGAGCGATGTAGTTCTACTAGCGTTTGATATAAAACTACTACCTCTACTATCAGAAAACTTGGAGTTAGGGTGCTTCTTAGTATTTTTCAAATTAGTATTATTAGGTAACCCTTCGGATACTGATCTAGGTATTTCTCGCATATTTGGCGGAACCCTTCTTATAGCAGCGTAATGACCTCTAGAAGTTGTTCTACACCCACATAGTTGACTGAAAGTATCCTAAAAATAAAAACAAAAGTGATTCATTACAGCTATTTTATTATTATCGATTATTGTCAAGTTATGTACAAAAAACATTTTAAAAAAACGTCTTCGATAGTCCATAGAAATAAATAAAAGAAGACCATGTTTGGGACATGACCTTTTCCTGCTGCGGGCCCTAACAACTATAAGCAGTTATTTTGCAAATAATTCTTGCCGAATTATTTCTTGCAAATATTTCTTTTCCGAAATTCTTTTTAATTATTTTTATACGTAAATATGAAATTAAAACCATTTTTTATGATGTATGGAATTATTTTTACAGTTTTAATTATACATTTTATGTTGATTACTATTTAATTAATTGTTTAATATCTAAAAAATGCTGACAACTAAATATTGAAATAAGAGGATTTTAACAAATTAAAATAAAATTTAGTAAGGCGTAACGTCGCTCTTAGCTTGAATAACAGCTTGAACTCTATTAGGGATTGTATCAACTACCACTACACCTTAGTTAGAAAGTTACACGAACTTTACTTTAGGGGCGTACCCTAATGTTGGTAGGATAATGCTATTAGCGAAGAGAGTTTTCATGGCATATAGCCTGTGTTGCAGAAGAAATTCTATAAGAGTTTAAACCCTTTTTATTTTTATCGTCATATCCGTTAGGTCCAAGCACAAACTCTGAATCATCCTGCTTGTGATCTATTTTTGCGTTTAGGTCTCCCATCAGTATAGTATAGTTGGTGGTTTAGTTTTTAGTTTAGTTTTTACCATTCTTAAACCTACTAGGTTTCTCTGTTCCTTTTAAAAATAGAGTGGTGGCCAAATTCTCTTTTTCTCTTTCCTTTTCTTTTGCTTATATCACTCGTGAATTACTTGTAGTCTAGCTCTGACGAACCCCGACCAAGACACGTCTACCCGACTGGAGCCCGGACCTAAGTATCTTGATTTGTGTACCGTGTTTCTATTTACCAGAGGATTTACCATCTTAAATTAGGCACACTCATCTACCACCCAAATTGGTAGGATACACGCTAACCTAACACGCTAACGCTAAATACGCTAAATACAAAACTATAACCAGAGTTTTATATAATAAACCACTCACGTTGATTTTCATAGACTTCAAGAAAGCTTTTGATACCGTGGAATTACCGGCAGTATTAGGAGCATTAGAACAAAGCCGAGTACACTATAGATATACAAATTTGATAAAACATATATACAACAACGCAACAGCATCTGTTAAACTCCATGACTTTACCGATAAATATAAAATTGAGCGAGGAATTAGACAGGGCGACACCATCTCCCCCCATAAATTCACTGCAGCTCTGGAATATGCCTTTAAAAAACTAGATTGGGCTAAAAGGGGAATAAATATTGATGGTGAATACTTAAGCCACTTGCGCTTTGCAGATGATATTGTCATTATAGCCGAGAGTTTAAATGAAACTCACAAAATGATGGAAGAACTAAAACAGGCAATAGAACAAATAGGCCTGAACATAAACTTTGAAAAAACAAAATACATGAACAATTTAGTTCCAAGTGATGTTATGAGGGTAGATGGGAACGAAGTACATCAGGTCTTTAGCTATATCTATTTAGGGCATGAAATTAGAATAGGAAAAGACAATCAAACTTGTGAGATCCCGCGTCGCATAGGCTTGGGATGGGCAGCATTTGGCAAGATGCGAGATATTCTAAAAGGAACGCTACCGATTTGCTTGAAAAAAAAAGGTTTACAACCAATGCATACTGCCAGTAATAACATATGGTTCCGAAACAATAACTTTAACCAAACATTCTGCAAATAAATTTAGAGTAACCCAAAGAAAAATGGAAAGAGCAATGTTGGGAATAACTAGAAGAGATATGGTACCAAATAGGATAGTGAGAGAGAGGACTAAAGTGACAGATGTCATAGAAAAAATTGCACAAGCCAAATGGAGATGGGCTGGACATATAGCACGTTTAAATGATAATAGGTGGACCAAAAGACTCATAGAATGGAGACCTAGAGAAGACAAAAGACACCGAGGCAGACCACCAAAAAGATGGATGGACGACTTAAGAAAAACAGTCGGAAATTGGATACAGAAGGCGCAAGATAGAGAACAGTGGAAGAACATGGAGGAGACCTATATCCAACAGTGGATGCAAGAGGTTGAGGAATAATGATGATGATGAACCAGAGTTTGGAACTACAAATCCTGTAATAGTCGTACCTATATCGGAATTCTTTTGTTTTAGTATGCTCAAAAACTACATATAAGAAATAACTTTACTTTTCCTCCTCTTCTCTTGTTTGTCTTTTCTGCTCGCTTTTTATTACTCTAATATAGGTAAAAGTTTGTTAACGCTGTTTATATAATGTCTCAATGAAAAAATATCTTTAATTATTTAATTATTGTATTAATAAGGGTGTCCATTATCTAATTTTTCCCACAGATAGATGTATAGATAATTAAAGGAATATATTTGGGTACATACACACTTAAACTCATTACACGGTTTGATGGGTTAAAACTGACGGTTTATAAAGTCTTTATGAGAATTATATATATTTTAAATGTTAATTTTAAGGTGAAATGTTGAGATAAAAAAGTGAAGCAATTATTCGAATTAATACCCTCGGTGTAGTAAACTATTAAGTTACCATCCGTACATTTAAGCTATTTCGCACTCTATGCATTAAATATTTTTAAATTAGTCGCGTCACGTCGCTAGTGATAACGTCAAGTATGTAAAGTGTGTTTTTTGTTCATCTAAAAGTATAGTCGGACAAAAAATTCGAGACGCTGACGTATAGTTTTAACAAAACCTACTAATTATATACAATACTATTCAAATGCATCAATCATTATTTGATAACAAGGAAATCAAAATATTAGTTCATAATAATTGTGAATTATTATGACCCCTGTGCTTGATCGACGAGGAAAACATGTACCACACAAAGACCTGTTTAGAGGATGAACAAAGAGCATGCAGTTTGATTGACATATTTCCATCACATGAAATTCATTATTTTGACAGGAATAGTAATAGAAAGTATCTAAATCCCGATTTAAATATAAAAGTCATGTATAACTTGTACAAAACTCAGTGTACTGAAAAAAGCATCGAGCAGTGTCACTGTTAGGGATTGCAATCCAGCAGCATTTTCAGTCCAGCTGGATTTTTGTAAGATTGGCCTGAATCCAGCTGGATCCAGCGCGGATCCAGCAAAATGTGGAATCAAAATAAAAACACGATTTCAATGTTTTCTTTTTGTTTATTTATTACTATTACAATTCGCAATCAATCTTACCTCTCTTTTACTTAAAATGGCTAAAGCAAATGCCACAATTATCATGAGATTAAAAAAAAACTCGTACTCAGTAAGCCGTGGAAGTGGAACATAGGGCTTTGCTTGTGTCGGCTGAGAATTGTCACGAATAAAATTTTATTCAAATGAACTTATCTGTTGTCTTCTTCTTAACATGCCATACACCAAAGTGCATAGGCGACTATAATGCATAGGCACGAATAAAATTTTATTCAAATGAACTTATCTGTTGTCTTCTTCTTAACATGCCATACACCAAAGTGCATAGGCGACTCATTACTAGAATTCTGTTCTTGGCGGCGTGACACAGCTCACCTGTATTGTGTATTCCTATCCATTCTTTAATATTCCTTAACCAGGACAATTGTTTGCGGCCGGCTCCTCTCCTACCTTCGATCTTCCCTTGTAGGATTAACTGTGGTATTTCATATTTTGCTCCTCTCAATATGTGCCCAAGGTAACCAATCTTGCGTTTTTCAATTAATTCAAAGAGTTCTCTTTCCACGCCGGCTCTATTAAGGACGTCATCGTTTCGAACTCTATCCACCCAAGGTATGCGCATCATTCTTCTCAATGACCACATTTCAAATGCTTCAAGTTTGTTGATAGATGTTTTTTTCAAAGTCCACGTTTCCATGCCATAAAGCAAGATGGACCATATGTAGCACTTGACCATTCTGTAGCGTATTTCGAAGTTTAGGTGTTGATTACATAGGAGCGGTCTGAATTTCACAAAAGCTTGTCTTGCCATTTGTATTCGGGTTTTTATCTCGTGTTGTGGATCCGATTGGTCATTGATTGTGGTGCCAAGGTATTTAAAAGTTTTCACGCGATTTATACGATTGTCACCTATGCATAATATCGGGTTTTCTGGAGGGTTTCTGCTAATGACCATATATTTCGTTTTCAAAATGTTGATTTTGAGGCCATATTTTTTACCTATGCTATTCACCCTATCAAGTAATAACTGCTGATCTTCCAAATTATCAGTTATAATCACTGTGTCGTCCGCATAGCGTAGGTTGCTAATTGGTATGCCGTTCACCTTAATGCCTAACTCCGTATCTTCTAATGCTTCCGCAAATATATTTTCAACATATAAATTAAAAAGCATCGGAGAGAGTATGCAGCCTTGGCGGACACCTTTCCGGATTTCAAATTCATCCGTATATTGGTCTTGATCAATCCTCACCTTTGCCATTTGGTTCCAGTATAGATTCTGAATAATTCTGATCTCCTTCTGGTCAATGTTGGCCCTATGTAGTAGTTCCATCATGATATCATGTTTAACATTGTCAAATGCCTTCTCGTAGTCGATGAAGGTGAGGTAGACATCTTTTCGTTGATCTAAGCAGTTTTGTATTAAGGTGTTCAAACATAAAATTGCCTCTCTTGTTCCTAGTCCTCCCTTAAAACCGAATTGTGTTGACCCTCTAAGTTCTTCTAGTATCTTATACATTCTTGAGTGTAATATCCTAAGGAAGAGTTTCAACAAGTGACTCATTAAACTGATTAAGCGGTGTTCATTGCATTTTGTGGCATTAGCTGTTTTTGGGATCATCACAAAGGATGACTGCTTATCTGTTGTAAGAGTAGTTAATTTGAAGCAAATTTCATTGATGGCAATTTTGAGCTGACACAAGTTAAGTAATATGTGTTTCTTCCATGGCTTAATGAG